GTGATTAATTTTTGCTTTATAATATACAAGGTAGCCTAAAGTGATTAATTTTTGCTTTAAGTGATTAATTTTGCTTTATAATGTACAAGGTAGCCTAAAGTGATTAATTTTTGCTTTAGAATGTACAAGGTAGCCTAAAGTGATTAATTTTGCTTTAGAATGTACAAGGTAGCCAAAGGTAATTAATTTTGCTTTAGAATGTACAAGGTAGCCAAAGTGATCTCTAGATTTACCTTCAGTTTTGTTTATTTTCTAGTATGAATTATTTTGAATTATATTATTTTAAATACAGTGAAGACAACTTATAAGAATTGAGATTAAAATTAATGCATTAAAAATGGTCGGATTGTATATAATGATTTTAGGAGCTAGAAGGAAATGATGAATATCATTCTCAATACCACTAAGTATATTTATCTCCCTTTCTGTCTTTAAGAGATCGAGGAAGGCCAAAAATTAAAGCCAGATATTATGAACCATCGTCTGTGATTATGAAGTTCTTGGTAGGTCCTTTCTTAAGGTTTCTTTGTACAGTTAGTCTAAGATCAATAAGTACTGAAATATTTCTCACTTATATATTTTTGTTCGTTATTGCTTGAAAACTAATGTCGACATTCAGTTTAACCTTTGAATTTCAAACAGAAGAATACTCTGCCCTGTGATTCTTAAACAGACTTGATAAATTTTATTAAAGGTTCTTGATGAGTTGTTTTGAAAAATATCATTTTGAACAACTGAGTTTAAACTTAATGTACTGCTTACATTATGAGCACATTGTTTAAACTTAATGTACTGCTTACATTATGAGCACATTGTTTAAACTTATTGTACTGCTTACATTATGAGCACATTGTTTAAACTTAATGTACTGCTTACATTATGAGCACATTGTTTAAACTTAATGTACTGCTTACATTTTGAGCACATTGTTTAAACTTATTGTACTTCTTACATTATGAGCACATTGTATAAATGTAATGTACTGCTTACATTTTGAGCACATTGTTTAAACTTATTGTACTTCTTACATTATGAGCACATTGTATAAATGTAATGTACTGCTTACATTATGAGCACATTGTTTACACTTATTGTACTGCTTACATTATGAGCACATTGTTTAAACTTAACGTACTGCTTACATTATGAGCACATTGTTTAAACTTAACGTACTGTTTACATTGTGAGCACATTGTTTAAACTTAACGTACTGCTTACATTGTGAGCACATTTAAACTTAACGTACTGCTTACATTATTTGTCATAAGTCTACTTCTGAAAAGAGTACTTTAAGAGAAATAAACTAGTAGATATAGCAACAAATATAAGTTCTTTACGTCAATGTTACTTATACCACATATCCACACAGATGCTTTGATAAAGGGGTATATATGTATTAATTTGTATATGGATATTTTGGAATAATTTTTTATGTTTATTTATGCATCCTGCAGTATTCAATTTAAAGAAATAGACAAATCACAACTGATTGTCTTATTAATTTTAAAACACTTTATTCTAATTATATTTTTGTAACGGCTAATTTTGTCACAGAAATTTTTGAACTGTTTATCATATTATCTGAAATATTCTAAATCTCGACCAAAGTCGTAATGTTTTTGATGGAACCAAAACGACTCTCCATGTCCTTTACAGTTTTACTTGAAACTTGTCTATACATCACATATTGTGGTTAATATTATTGTCCTGACACCATAGTTTCTGTCGTAACTGCTGTAACAGTTTACTGTAAAAGGCAATTTTAAACCATACTTCTAGATAAACTTTTCCACATAATTTCCTTTTTACATGATCTTCAGTGTCCAATAGTATATTTAAGGAAACCAAATCCACAAAAGTATATGAAGATAGCATAGATTCTGGCTTAATTCTCCATGACGGATAGAAACATTGTCGTGAACTTAGATGCATAACTGTACTTTTGACTTTGTGATTACTACAGTGTAAGAATTTTATTTTGCATAATTGGTGTCAGTATTTATCCTCTTAGTTTCACGGTTAAACTTGGCTCTACTGTGCATTTTGTGAAACTTAATTTCCAATTATATGAGGAAACTGTGGCAACTTAAACATTTCTAATAATCAGTCACTAGTAATGGAGTAATCAGAACTTGGAGGTTGTGGAAGGGGCCCGGCATGGCCAGGTGGTTAGGGCACTCGACTCGCAATCTGTGGGTCGCGGGTTTAAATCCCCATCCCACCAAACATGCTCGCCTGTTCAGCTGTGTGGGGCATTATAATGTGACTAGCTGCCTTCCCTCTAGTCTTATACTGCTAAATTAGGGATGGCTAGCGCAGTTAGCTCTCGTGTAGCTTTGTGCGAAATTCAAAACAAACAAATAAGGTTGTGGAAGTAGATTATCACAGAACTTGTTCAATAGTAAATACTAGATGAATGCATACCACAGTGCGATTGAGGAAAGGGTGATTAAAAGCATTGTTGGAGACTATGCAAAATAGAGATGAAGCTCCTGGCCAGTGTTTACCCACCATTTTTTATTCCTGTAGGAACCACCGTTTTTGGAGATAAGGAGGTCCTCCCACTCAGATCCTCTGAGGCTTGTACATAACTACCTTTCTTATTACTATGTTATGTAAAAATTCCTTGTGTTGACTATAAGTCAACCATTTCTTGTTTCAGTTACTAACTCTAGGAGCACAAGCGGGTCAAAGTGCAAAAGTCACAGCCTTTTTCAAAGTTGCATTCAAAATTCATATAATTTTATTTGAAATGTATGTCATTAAACTTGTTATCAAACCATAGTTTAAATTCTAAATAGTTTTAATTTCCAAATATTTAAACAAAGTCTCAATCTTCACTACTCTGTATAATGTGCCATGTTTTCACTCCAAGTAGCTCATACTTATACTATACATGTCCTTGATCTAAACTGTCAGTTTGTAGTGACAGAGATTTCCGATAATATCTCGCATAATATAATTCCTCGATTTGTGCTGCCCTCTATATGTGCAATTTTTCACTCACCAGTACCTGTCCTCACATGGCATAGCTGTGTTGTAGCATGCAACAACCCTCTACCAATAAGAGTGTTACACACCCACCTAGTGCTGCTGACTCCCTCTATACTGTAGATCACACTCGTGACTTCGAGATTTGGCACTTGTGTAACGACATGTCTTTTCCCATTCGTGAACCTTTAAGAGTTAGGAATTTTTTAACTCTTTGACTTTGGGAACACACGTAAATTTCTTTGTGCACATGTCACAAAATATATTGCTGAGTTACATTCAAAATTAAGTAAATTATCCAAGTTATTATTCCTTTATTTCAAAAGAAACCACTGAAACAAACAGTTAAATCTTCAGTTGTTGTTACATGATGCACATGCAGTTTAAATATCTTTGTTTTTTTTCTTGTCTTCTGTTCAGCTCTGTCCCAACAAGCCTCCTTCATCCATCTTCTTCTCCTCCTTGTGGATTTGACGAGTCTTGGTTGGTTGGGCACACTCACACTAATTTAGTTTGTCCTTCATTTCGGTGGTTTTCAGTTCACACCTCCAAAGAGCCCAGCTATCTCTTCTTTTGAAGGACATGGAGCAGTTAGTTTCCCTATCTTCTCCTTCTTTGCGATACATATCTTCAATGCGGGTGAAGAGTACACTCAGATACGGATGAGGTGTGGTCTCCCACAGGATGACCCTATGTTTTAGGGTATAATGTTCCATGGATTCGCTTTGGGTGCCTTCTGAGGTGACTCGTCTAAGTAAGTTTTACACGAGTCCCTCCACTGTTTCAATGTGGGATTCTAACTGTTATGTGAGAAGAGGTAAGGTATTCCATCAGAAGTTAACATTTTCCAGCACTGAAATTGTATTCCCAATGGATACTTGCCTCCTCTCATGCTTCCCACATCCTCTTGCCGAAACTCGAAGTGATGAGTGTGATCTACAGTATAGAGGGAGTCAACTGCACTAGAGGGTGTGTTGCACTCCTATTGGTGTAGGGTTGTCACATGATCACTTGCAGGCTACAGTGCAGCTGAATCACATGAAGCCTCAAGGCTAGTGGCGAGCAGAAATTGTGCATATAGAGGGCAGCACAAATCTAGGAAAGGTATTATGTGACTGGAGATAAGTATCTATTGGAAATACATTTTCAATGTTGAAAAATGTTGACTTTTCCTTCATGGAGATACGAGCAATAAACTGAAGGCTGCAAGTATATCCTGTTTTCAAGAAATATCAATAATTCTCTGACATTTTCTACTGGGTTATTAGTAACCAATAAAGAGAGAATATTATAATTTACTGAATGCAATGGGATAAATAGTTTTGAACATTTTGCTGTCATTGTCTTTATTTGCCAGATTGGAATGTTAATTATTTAACTGATTTGTAGTTTAGCCAGAAAGGCAGGTAAGTTATGTTAGATATGTATTTCCTATTCTGAATTGAATTAAAAAATTATAATTTCTGATACCACACTATCCTTACTTATAAAAGTTAGCCTTAGTGGTTGACATGACTTCTAGTGTACCATTATGGACTTGAGTACAAATAAGAACTTGAAAAAGTCAAGATTCTGGACATAAGTACTAAATATCTTGTTTTTTTTATGTATAACTTTTATTTATTTTTATAAATGTAACTAAAATATAAGAATTAGAAACGTATTATATTAGATAATAAAACTTAAATAAATTTAAGGAAACAAAATACTCAGTAACACGCACTCAGTGTGTGTGTTTGTGTAATTTGAGTGTATGTGTTTACAGAAAGCTGTCCAACAAAAGAGCTATCACTGTTCTCTTAAAGGATCTAAGTACAACTGTAAAGAAATAAAACTAAATTAATTATATTGAGTCAATTAATGATTGGTTCCAGAACTGATTAATCTTTTTGAGTGATAAATCTAATTAGAACTTTTTTCTTGTATACAACTGATATCCTTGTTTATTTTCCACATCAAGCTTAGAATGTTGTTTTCTCATCACGAAAAAATTAAAAATTATCTTTTATTTGTACTGTATGTTACACAGTATTACGTATTCTTAGATGCAGAGAGACATTTCATTTTGTTTAAACCTTACAACTCTTAACATTTTTTCGTCCCACAGATAATTTTTTCCATGCATAAACAGTTATATTGTTTCAAAAAATATGTGACCACCACGTTTATTTTTCAAGTACTAAATTACCGAAATCTTAAAAATAATTCAACTGTGTTATCGTTATTATCTGATTATTTTTAAAGAACGCCGTACATTGATTTGTTTTAAAGAACCATGGAATTGAACCATTGTATAAGAAGCTTTTGAGAAAGACAGACTACAGGTTGGATTGGTCCCAGCTTCCTGCTGCTGTCCATCCTTCAGGAGGTTAAGTACATTCTAAAGCATGATTTTTAATCAAGTAGAGACGTAGCTTAATGGTAATACTACATAACGGCTTATAAGATGTATCAAACTATTATTTTTATATTATACTTTATACATTTTTTTTATTGTATTTTGTTTTGAGAACTTCTAGAGAGCGAAACGGCACTCTTATTTCATACATAACTGTCTCTTTTAGCATCTCACCAAACAAAACAACAAAACTCAAACAAAAATTTTTGTTTGAGATCAAAGCCACGCAGTGAGATATTTAAGCTCTTTTTCCACTGAGAGGAATCAAACCCCTAGATTCTAGTGTTTGATCTTTGTAAATTTAATCTAAATTCATATAATTCGTATGAAATGTTTTGGATAAAGAATTATCTTTGTAAAAAATAAGAGAATATTTGGGATACATCGAATCTGTATGTTAATGTTATTAAATTCATTAATGTTTGATTTTATTTTTTTTTATTTGATAATTAACCATAAAAATATTTGATTGAGTCAAGAATACATAAAATTTGAAAATATGAGGTTGATGTCACTTACGTGTATTGCTGAAATATATATATATGTATGTGTATGTATGTATGTATATTTGTATGTATGTATGTATATTTGTATGTATGTGTGTATATATGTATGTATGTATGTGTGTATATATGTATATTTGTATGTGTGTGTATATATGTATAATTGTATGTATGTGTGTATATGTATGTATGTATATATATGTATATTTGTATGTATGTGTGTGTGTATATTTGTATGTATGTGTGTGTGTATATTTGTATGTATGTGTGTGTGTG